ATCAGAAGCCGTATTTGGATAGAGAAAGCGCCTTCCAAAAGCTAAGTGAATATTAAAAAGTAGAACAAGTCCGCTGAGAAACAAAGAAAAGAGTACTGAACGATGTATCTATCCTACTGTATGACAGTGAATGCTACACAATATCCTCACATATGAAGAAGAGAAGCAACGGTAATGTAATTCTACAGAAGGATGATGGTGATACCATCGGCTGAACTTGTGAGCAACGACGAGGTTTTAAAGAAAATGGAAACAGAAAGGAAAATTGCGCATAACATCAGGAAGAGACAGTTTAAATGTCTGGGTAACATAATGAGGAAGGAGGGCTTGGAGAATCTGTTACTCACAGGACGATTTGAGAACAAGAGGTACAGAAGAAAAATGCATCCCATATTTGATGAGCTTGAGAAAATGGATGGCGGAACAAGGTTTAGAAATAGCAAAAAGACCATTTATTTAGAAAGAGAGACAGCTATCTACATCGGTTGGACTTTTACTCATAAATTAGGGAATCCCAATGCAGAATGACGTCTGATCAAATCAATGCGAAGCACGGTTGATATTTCTGTTTTCACTATTAGCGACGCCACGTTGTCACAGTCCTTCCTCGTCAATCATCACTCATTAATGAATTAATTAAGAATAGTATTCATGTACGAATCTCTCACCCACTCAAAGGAAAGAAACTTCAACATGAATTTATGTTTGTGTAATTACAGCCGTCCAGCCATTTCGGGTTGAATTTACTGTTTGAGGAATTTATGGGGGCGGCGTGAATCCCTTTGTTTAATTCCGAAGCCAATGAGGCCAAATAACTAACAAGCTAGAAAAGTTTATTGGGAATATATATATATATATATATATATATATATATATATATATATATATATATATATATATATATATATGGGTGTCTGTGTGTATGTGTTTATATGTTTGTGTGTGTCAACCACTTTAGTAATTATATTTGCTCTGAAATTTAATTTAATTTATTATTATTATTATTTATTATTATTATTAATGCATTATCTCTTGATATCAAACACTATAATGGCGAAATATAATATCTGTATATATATATATATATATATATATATATATATATATATATATATATATATATATATGTGTGTGTGTGTGTGTGTGTGTGTGTGTGTACGTTTGTGTGTTTTGTGTATATGTTCGCGCGTGTGTGTGTTTTAATAAATTCATGTTCGCGCGTGTGTGCAAGGCTGAGATGACTTACATGTGTGGTTAAATTTATGACCGTATATAAAACCAATTTTCGAAAACTTACACGATTGTTGATGTGCGGGTGGTGCAAGAGATAGCGGCTGGGAAATGCAAAATCGTAAAGCCGAGTTCGAATTCTAATCGATTATTTACATATATATATATATATATGTGTGTGTGTGTGTGTGTGTGTGTGTGTGTGTTCGTGCGCAAATATTCTTAGAAAATATATGAATCTGTCGAAATCAGCTGGAAAAATTACTGCCAACACCAAAACATTGTTCACTCACAAATTACAATCCGCAAAATAGCTTTCGGCTTTAAATGACTCACAAACTTTTGATGAGCCGCGTAAATCAAATCAATAATTTATTTAAAAAAATAAACGACAAATTCTGTCCATACATCCGTGTGCCTGAAACTCCTCTAACTCAGGTCACACTTGCTTTACATCGATACATAATTTTTTAGAATCAGGATGACAGTGGGATTGAAAACCTGTCCTTAATCTGGTGCTTGAACATCCAACATTGGGATTTCTGTCCGAGTGATGAGGAAACATTTAAAAATTCAAATTTTAAAATAATTTTAAAAAAACAGTAATTTTAAAAGTTTTTAATTTATACTGAGTTTAAAGTAAGACAATAACTTTTAAAAGTTTTGATTTAAATTCAGTTTAAAATATCTCCAAAAGTTTGCAAAATCAGAGTTATTTCTTCAAAATTTCACTGAATCAAGAGTTAAATGCGAGATGTTTCGTAGCGCGAGATTCTGATGTTACGCAATGTTTAGGATTTGAAGAAAACAACTCAGTTGAAGTTCCACGAATTTTGTGATTTGAAGAACGCAATTTTCTCCCTGAATTGAAATTTCGTCTCAAATCGCTCAATAACCCGAATCAGAGTTAAAGTGAGGTTTTGAAGTTCCATGAGTGAAATGAGGAAATGCAAGTTATTTCCTCAAAATTATCATTGTCTTTTCGAAGCTGGACCAGACGACCCTTTTATTTCGTGCTTAAAAACTAGCTTAAAAGCCCGAACTGACCGGTAACATATATTGTCATATGGAATATTGTATGAAATAATGGCTGGTGGCTCTCATCCGAGTATGTCTGTTTGTTTGGGAGGCTAGCCAATTTCTATTGCAGACGCCTGCTCAGGCACGTTTGTGTTTGTTCAAAACAAACAGAGCCCACCTGTGGATTGTACTATAACTGAGCTTAGCTGACCTTAGTTACAGTTTCTGGGAGATAGTGCGATCAACAGTAGGAACAAGGCTAGTACGTTCGCGGTGAGACTTGTGACTTCATGCTAGCTAAGACACCGACAGCTCATAAAAAGTTCCGCCTTCCCAATTTCACTCATAGAGGTATGGTTTTCAAGCACTTTCCATACGCGGCACACGCTGGGTTCGCCTCTATAGGCTGCTTATATCAAGAAGTCACCTTCTTGACTAATCGAGCATTGCATGATTCAAAAAGCAAACGGAACTCGGCAACGTGTCCATTCAAGTGGAAAAGATATTGTCATATGATATATTTTAACTAATACTGTCATATGAGCGTAGATTAATTACTTTCTTTTTTTTTCTTCTACAATGACGTTCACTCGAGCCACTCGAGTTTTGAACTGAGAACTATTCTATCGTATTTTGAATGTCACCAAAACAAGATAAGAATGACAAAAGACAAAACAAAACAAAAAAAAACAAAAAACAAACAAGAACATATGGGGCATTGCTCTTGTCATCACCAGAATTATTGGAAATTCCTATAATTCTTTGGGGAAATTGGCTATTAGGAATTTTTCGATTCCATTATTTGAACAAAATTTGGTAAACACTCGACCTCTGGGTAGCAACACCCTATCCCTTCTTGACTTCAGATGTTCAACTGACATGAAGAGGACTTACTACATCAAGCCAATAGCTGCATCTACTGCAAGAAAAGTTGGTTCACTGTGTCGTGCCAAGGAACTTTTGTCATCAATGATCCATCTTGCACACTTACAAATCAACAGTTCGTTCGTGCATTAAATACTACTGCCATATCTGGCCTGGTGCTTCTCCTATTTATCTCGAGGTTCTTGACAAAATCCAAGAAATGATCTGTAATATAATCTACCCTGACCAGGCATTTCAACTTCAATCACTTTGTCACCGACGTGATACTGCTTCCCTCTGTCTTTTCCTACAAATATTTTCATGGCAACTGATCTGACGAGCTTTTTGTTTTTTTTTTCTTGGTTGCCCCGAATGGTGCATAAACTTAAGCGTCCTACTAGATTGGCATATAGGTCCCACCCCATTTACGGTTGAAATAACTAAATACAACCATCACATCTACTCCGACATTTTCTTTTCTCACACTTCCTGCCCGTGAAACTTCCTCCCGTTTCATTGCTTCCCTAATAAATGCAATCTTCAAAAATGTAAATGCAATGTGTTAATCGCCATCTTCTATCTTCAGGAATCCCGTTTGGCTTTTAATCTTTTCTTAATTCTCATTATACTCAATCTTTTCTCTCACTTTCACTCTCCGTAAGCTATTGAGTATTTTTAGTAGCATTCTCATCCTGCTTGGGGGGTGAAATGATTAAAAAATGATATCCTTATAGTTATAAAAGAAAAACGAGAAAATACTAACGGTAATATTAGCCTTTTCCTTAGAAGGAAACATTTATTCAGCAAGTAGACATTATTTACAAAATTTCTCTTAGACGAATTTATTTTTGAAAATTGGTTTCTCAATCTACTAACTGTTATGGCTCTTTCGAGTACTAACTGGGTCTTCTTAAGCTTTTATTAGTTTTACTTTGAGTTACATTTGAAATCCTTTAGCATTGATATTGTTAAAAGTCTTTCAAGTGATGTGGTTTCCGTGATCAGCTACAGTCCTTTGTTTATGATAAAGATGTACAAGCATAGACTTTGATGGGGAGCAAACCCGAAACGATTAGTACAGATTAGCACATCAGTTACAATATTAAGTTTCTAGTATTTAACTGATTGATCACGGCTTTCCACAATGTCCCTCGTTTCCCTAAAGAATGCTTTATTCTTAATCGCTTTATATTCCCCCTATGCGACCCATCCACCCAAAAACAAATACATTTCTGAGATGAGGTATTATGTACATTATTTACATTATTCGGACTATTGTCCTCATTTTTTGTCGCCATATTTATCACAAAGTTTCGGCCGTTGTACGCTCCGGCCTTCTTCAGGTGGTCTCAGAAATATAGACAAGCTTTATAAAAATAGTTTCTTATCCCGCACTTCTTGCCTGTGGAGCTTTCTTCTGGATTCTTACTTTCTTCTTTCCAATAAAAAAGTAAATACAACGTCAATCGTCATCCTTCTTTTCCATGAATCCTTACGTTCAGCATTTAACCTCTAGCGTCTTAGTTGCTTTATCGCCTTGCTTGTGGTGAAATGAGTCAAAAATTAATGTTTTCCTTTTTTATACTTTTTTTTTTAAATGTGATGTCCTTTCATATATTTTTTTATTATTATCTCGTTTCCTCGTGTCTTATCCACCGTTTGGTATTCAGTGTCGCCCTTACACTAGAATGGAATCTCTACAAATTGAGAGAGCCCATTCTCCAATAATAATTAACCCATAGATGGAAGATTCAACGATATATATTCATGTCTATGCCAAGAGAATTAGTGTGAAAGCTAAAGATTCAAAGGAGAGACCGCAATTCGAACTGTTCTCGTTTAATCCAGGTCCCACGATGATTACCGCAATGGCATTAGATTAGTTATTAAAGTGTAACATTCGCAGAAACAAGAAAGAAAGAAAGAAAGAAAGAAAGAGAGAAAGAAAGAAATAAAGAAAAGACGAACGGAAGGAAGGAAGGAAGGAAGGAAGGAAGGAAGGAAGGAAGGAAGGAAGGAAGGAAAAGAGGTAGGAAGGAAAGAAGCGGGGAAGAAAGGAAGGAAGGTAAAAGGGAGGGACAAGCGAAATTGAGATGTTTCAAGGAACTATGTAGAAATTAATAAAGTTTGAGGGCGATAGGAGAAGGAAGGAAGGAAGGAAGGAAGGAAGGAAGGAAGGAAGGAAGGAAGGAAGGAAGAGAGGGAGAAGAAAAAGGAAGAGACGGAGGGACGAACGAACGAATGAAATTAAGACATTCAAGGGACTAAGAAGAAATTAAAAAAGTTTAAAAAGTAGGAAGGAAGGAAGGAAGGAAGGGAGGAAGGAAGGAAGGACGAACGAAGAAACTGAAGAATATCAAGGAACTAAGAATAGATTAATAAAATTTAAGAGGAAAGGAGGAAGAAAGGAATGAGAGAAAGAGGGACGACCGAACGAAGGAAATGGAGAAAGTTAAGAAGAAACTAATAAAGTTTGAGAAATATATGAGAAAGGAAAGGTAGAAAGAAAGGAAGAAAGAAAGAAAGGTAGAAAGAAAGAAAGGTAGAAAGAAAGAAAGAAAGGTAGAAAGAAAGAAAGAAAGAAATAGAAAAATGAACGAATGAACTGAAGAAATTCAAGGAACTAAGAAGAAATTAAAATTGAAAATGTGTAGGAGGAAGTAGAGATAGAAAAAAAATAAAAAATAAGGATAAATAGAAAAAAAAAAGCGGAAGAAAGAAAATAAGGCGGAGAAGAGAAAGAAAGGAATAAAACGAAATAAGCAGAAAAGAAGAGAAAAAGAAAGACATTGATTGACAACGAAGAAAATGGTTGAAAGTGAGGGAGCCGGAAATTAATAAAGATTTAACAAAAGAAAAAAAAAAAGAAAGAATATCATAAAGATGGCAGATTGTTTTGTTTTGCATCTTCTTCACAAAAACCATTACATCTCTAATTAATTACTCAGTGTGTCTTACACACGTGAATCCAGATCCATGTAAATACCATATAGAATATAGGCTTCATTTTGAACCACAAATATTTATCTTGAACTAAGAATGAAAATCATGTGGATTTCAGAATATGATTTCAGAAATTTTTAAAAAATTGCAAAATTTCATTCATGGCTAATGAGAAATCTTTATATTACAGAATACGCCAAATGTACGACAACACAATGGGCGTAATGTTTTGTGAGGTTATTAGTAATACGTTCGATATGTATTAGGTTGGTGCAAAAAAAATGTCGTTTTCTCTATTGAAGTTGAACGTCAAAAAACGACATTATTTTTGCACCAACCTAATACTTATTGATCCACACACATTTTGACATCAACTAACTCAACGAGGCTGGACCTCTCCTAAAATTAACCAGTTGTACACAACAAAAGTGTGTTCGATCCCAAATATTTTAGTCTTCGCTCAGACAAAAAAAAAATATTTCATACGCAATATCCCTTTAGGATGTAGGCGATTATGATTCTCCACACTTTTCTATTTTTTTAATGCTTAGTTATGCTTGTCTTTTATTTTGACTCCCACCTTGTTCTTTCATCCATTTAGACATGGTCGTTAGGTAGGATATTAAGGTTTTATTAGAATTGTAATCATCGCTTTTTAAAAGAACAAAACGTGTGAAGGTAGTTAAAAATAAATAGCGGTGTCAATAGAAAAAAATTACTTTTCAGCCCCCCCCTTTTTTTTATTAGTGAGATGCTTCGCCCAACGAATTCCGAGAATTCGAGCTTAATACGTTTTCCAAGTCGAGCTTACAATAAACCTTTCCAAATATAATCTGGAATTAAACTGAAAGTAGTGAGGGCATAAAGATAAAGACCCAGAATGTGAAATTACCCAATTCTTCATTGTGCCAACGTATCCTGAATAGCTTCAAAATTATTCATGCCAATTTTTACTCAAATAACTCTTCTTTCATGACTTGTCTTTTACTAACTTCATGCAAATGCCATGAAAGAAAAGAGCAACACTGTCTAGTCAACACTTTAAAAAGCTACGAAACCAAAATCTCATCCTAAAAACTTGAGTCATGCTCCGAAATAGACAAGTGAGGTCTCGACTCGCATACGGATGTCGTTCATGGCAACCTAATCAGAAATGCCTAGAACATCCTCTCTATACAACCGTTTTATCAGATCAATGTTTAAAAATGGCTTTCATTGAATGAATTCTCTATATCTTAAAGAACACAATCACAATTCACCAGATCTTATAAACCTTGCGCTACAGAATCGCAAAGAAATTCACCAAATCTCAAAAAATTATATCTCTTGAAAACTTCCAGCAAAATCAACAGCTAAAATGGATATGTCATGTAACTGTGAGGGAATATAATGATGTAAGATATAGATTTTCCTACCTTCAACAAAATCTTAGGAAAGAAATACTCGTCAATACGACAAAGTGTGGTAACAGTGCAGCTGAAGAAAACAATTTCTTTAAAAAAAGGTTTTAAGAAAAAAAAATAGATTTCAACAGACAATAACGCTATTGTTCGATCAATAAATAGCATATATTTGTTGGATAAAAACCGCTAAAATTATTAATGCCACTTAGTGAATAATATTAACAAAAAAGATACATTTCCGAAACGCAAACTCTGTTAGGTTTTCGAAAGCTTCTTACGAGAACTCTAATTGGGACGCATAATATATTTTTATAAACCAATCCTGCAGCTATAAACAGGGTGAGAATTCTTGCGATCAGAAGTTTTTCGGTTTTCAGATATTTTTCGGAGTTTAGAATACAAGTTATTTAATTTGTATATAGCATCTATAAAATAGGGCAGCTTGCAAATGGAGCTCATGTATAATCACGTTATCTTTCTACATTTCATAACACAGCATATATATATATATATATATATATATATATATATATATATATATATATATATATATATACCCTGAATGCAGCTTTATCTAAAACTTAATGAATTTTATGTACATGCTGATGCAAGCAATGCCGTTAGTCATGGAATACTAAAACGGATTTTAAGTGGAGAAATCAAAATTTCATGTAAATATAATTTTTTGTACTTTCTGTACATGTACAAAAAACATGATCATTACTTACAAAAATATATAAATGCAGGATTTTTTTAACATTTTGAATAATATCTTTACTGAGCACGAAACACCGTGTAAGTAATCCACGAATGAAGGTGCTGCTGTAAAAATCACTAACAAAAAACCTGGCGCCAGCGTAGGCTGGGTAGCTGGGCTGGTGAATCCCCACCCAAGGCAGATGAAGTCATTTACAGCAGCTGCGTATCATCTTGGAACCTTCCCAGTGCTTTCTGAAATTTTCCATTCGTGGCAAGTTGTCTCCGCGCTGGAAAAACGTTCGGATTTGGGAGGTTTTCGTATATTGGAGGTTTTCGGATTTTCGAATTTCAGATAAAAGATATTCAAACTTACAAACATTTAATACAAAAATATTTTTAATGATATGTTTGACAGTATTGTATTGATTTTATAATTTTTTTCCAAATATTTTTTTATCTGGGAGTGATTGCCGAGCCCTTTTGAAATTGATGCTGTTTTCTTTCGGTTGTTGGTTTTCCAAAATGTTTGCTTTATTTTCTTGAGTTAATGCAATTCGCTTGCGAAAGACTATGTCGATTTGAATCGCTAATGATGTCATTGTCTCTACTACGAAATTTGAAACACTGCTACTGACGTCACGGTTTCTTTCTGCGAAACAAGCCGGGCGCGCGCTAACTAAATCTTTCTACATCCTTCTCACACTCTCTCACTCTTTCGTGAATAAAACTCGACCTTTCTAAAAATAAGGCGGGGTATGTAATACCAGATTCTCTATATTTACATCCGCCTTTCTCTTTCTTTCTCTTCTATTTTTTTAAAGTCTTTAATTTCTCATTATGCTTTTCTCCGCCTGGTTGCCTCTCTGAGTGTGCGGTTTTAATATTTTCACTTTCTTTTTTTTTTTTTTGCAAGCCCCCGATCCCAGAACCAAAAGATAACCCATCCTAACTACCTACCCAGTGATACGTTTCATACCCGTCCCACCGTAACAAGTTTATCCACTCCAGCTGGTCAACAAAGCCAGACTAACATTTTAACTGAGATATTCCAAATTTGTTCATGGCATATTGCTTCACAAATCGCTGAACATCCTGTTTTCTGGAAATCGATTATTTTTCTAATAATTCTTATAAGAAACTTTCATAAAATATTGTATTTCTGACATAAACATTATGATATGTCCCGGAAAGGGATATATTTCTTCGAAGTAGCGAAGTGGTTGTTGACGATTGTAACGGGGTAGGACAATCTAGCAGGTAACCGTAATGGACTGGTCCTCGTCGTAGTGGTAGGCAATAAGCGTAGGCAATGGAGCCTTGTCAGCAATTATAAATGATATGTCCCAGAAATGGATATATTTGTTCGAAGTAACAAAGTGGTGGTTGACTACTGTAGCCGGGTAGGACAATCTAGCAGGTAACCGTAATGGACTGCTCCTCGTCGTAGTGGTAGGCTATAAGCGTAGGCAATGGAGCCTTGTCAGCAATTATAAATGATATGTCCCAGAAAGGTATATATTGGTTTGAAGTAGCAAAGTGGTTTTGGACTACTGCAACTGAGTAGGACAATCTAGCAGGTAACCGTAATGGACTGGTCCTCATCGTAGAGGTGGGCAACAGGCGAAGACTATAGGCGTAGTCCATGTACCTCCACATCACTCTTTATTTATGGCTGACACCAGTCAATCATATTACTGTGAGGTGGAACCCAGGTGTATGCATATTCATTATACCACTTTATTATTTTTAATACGCAGAATAGATATAAGAATATTTTTATTTACTATACAGTGTGGATGAATAAATTGCCGTCTAAATTACGCAAACTTAAATCTTAAATCATAGATATTAAATCTCTCAAATGTAGATTACAAATTCTCAAATCTTAAATATAATTCTTATATCTTAAAATCAAATATTGAACCACTCATATGCAGATTACAGATTCTTAAATCTTAAACTTAAATCTGAAATCTTAAATCTCTCACATGAAAATTATTTAATCTTAAGATTAAATCTTAAATCTCTCACATGCAGATTACAACTTCTTAAATTTTAAACTTAAATCTCAAACGTAAATCCTAAATCTCTCACATGCAGATTACAAATCCTTTAATCTTAAACTTAATTCTTAAATCTCTCAAATGCAAATTACAAATATCACATTTTATACCTAAGATCCTACTTAAAAGAATAATATTCAATGAGATAATTATAATAATAATGTTATATATTATATAATAATATATTATATTATAATAATAATATTCACTGTGACATTATTTATAATAACATTATATATTATATAATAATATATTATATTATAATAATAATATTCAACGTGATATTATTTATAATAATAACATTATATATTATATAATGATATATTATATTATAATAATATTCAACGTGTTATTACTTATAACAATAACATTATATATTATATAATAATATATTTTATTATAATAATATTCAACGTGATATTATTTATAATAATAACATTATTTATTATATAATAATATGTTATATTATAATAATAATATTCAACGGGATATTACTTATAGCAATAACATTATATATTATATAATAATATATTATATTATAATAATATTCAACGTGATATTATTTATAATAATGACATTATGTATTATATAATAATATATCAGATTATAATAATAATATTCAACGTGATATTATTTATAAAAATAACATTTTATATTATATAATAATATATTATATTATAATAATATTCAACGGGATATTATTTATAAAATAACATTATATATTATATAATAATATATTATATCATAATAATAATATTCAACGGGATATTATTTATAATAATAATATTATATATTATAT